CTCTATTTGTCCTGGTGACTGTTAACATCGAAAGTGAAAGAAAATCCCAAACGTTGGGTTGTCACTAGAACAGGAATATATGGGAAATCCTCCAATGTGGACACTTGTTCTAGGATTTTCCTCACTTTCAATGGATTTCCTCTCACTTCCTGTTGTGGCAATCAGACAGGAAGTGAAGGGAAGTCTCTCTAATGGGAAACTAACAGGGTTAATCACTAAAAGGTGATGGGTTTGGAGAAGGCAGGAGAAGTAAACAATCTAGGACAACATAGCAGATTTGGAAAAATTATCCAATTCGGCTCACTTTCCAGTTCAGCTCTGTTGTCCTAGATTGTTCCTTTCTCCTGCCTTCCCCAAACTCTTCACCCTTTTGTGAATAGCACTGTGAGTGCAATAATTCTTAATAAGATTCAATGTGTCTCAATGTAACTAAATCTTTCAAAAACTGAGCTCTTGATATGTCCTCCCGCCCCTGCACCTTCCCCCAACATTTTGGTTGACATTAATAACACAACTATCCATCCCTCCCCTCATGCCAAGGTCCTAGGTGTCAACCTTGACTCGGATCTCACCTTTCTTCCCCACATACAATCACTATCCTAATCCTGCCGCCTTCACCTTCGTAACATCTCCAAAATACACCCCTTCCTCACCAATGAAACCTTCAAACTCCTCATTCACTCACTTGTTATCTCTCGTCTTGACTATTGCAGCTCCCTCCTCATTGGCTTACCACTACACAGGCTCCTCCCCCCTTCAGTCTATCATGAATGCAGCTGACTCATTCACCTAACCAACCACTCTGTGTCTGCAACCCTCCTCTACCAATCCCTGCACTGGCTATCATCCTCCACCCCCTCTGCAAATCCCTGCACTGGCTTCCCTTCGCCCAAAGGATAAAATTCAAAATATTAACAATCACTTATAAAGCCATCCACAACTCTGCCCCCGGATATATCTCAAACCTTGTCCCAAAATATCACCCTAACCGTCCACTCCAATCATCCCAAGACCTCCTGCTTTCCAGCTCCCTTGTCAACTCCTCCCATACTGGCCTCCAGGACTTCTGTAGAGTCTCTCCCATCCTCTGGAACTCTTTTCCCCAACCTGTCAGTCTATCTCCCATCTTGACTGCCTTTAGGCGTTCCCTAAAGACTCATCTCTTCAGGGAAGCCTATCCCGCCTCAACCTAACCACTGAACCAATTCATCCCCACACAGCTACCTCCTCATGTATCACTTGCCCCTCCCTTTTAGATTGTAAGCCCTCAGGGGCAGGGCCCTCCTTACCATCGTGTCTTGAATTGTATTGTGATTGTAATGTCTTCCTTATATTGTAAAGCGCTGCGCAAACTGTTGGCCCTATATAAATCCTGTATAATAATCATAATAATTCCCCAGGTTGGAAGTCATTCCACCAAACCAGTGTTTTTCAACCTTTTTTGTGCAAAGGCACACTTTTTTCATGAAAAAAATCACGAGGATGGCCACCATTAGAAAATGTTAAATTTTTTTTACCTCTGTGCCTATATTGACTATATATAAAGTAATTCTCTTGAATAGGAATCAAATAAACACAAAGAAATTATTTTATAATTACTTTATTATGAAATAATAAAGTATTTTATAATTGTTCATATTTCTGTTCAATCCATGACTTAACTTCACACTTCACACAAATACGTTTTAAATTCAAACTGTAGCACTGACGTAGCCCTGGTTAAAGTAGGGTTCAGTGGGGTCTCACTAGTCTTGGTTAAACCCCACAGAGCCCTGGTGAGACCCTACCAAGCCCTGCTTTAACCAGGGCTCTGTAGGGTCTCACCAGAGCTATGTGGGGGTCTCACCAGCCTGGTTAGACCCCTCAGAGCCCTGGTGAGATCCCACACTGCCCTGGTTAAACCCGGACTCTGTAGGGTCTCACCAGCACCAGGGCTCCGTAGGGTCTCACCAGGGCTCTATGGGGTCCCACCATGGCTATGTGCAATTTCACCAGCCTGGTGAGACCCCTCAGAGCTCTGGTGAGACCCCACAGAGCCCTGGTTAAAGTAGGGTTCAGTGGGGTCTCACCAGGGCTCTTTGGGGGTCTCACTTGGGCACTGTGGGGTCTCACCAGCCTGCTTAAACCCCACAGAGCCCTGGTGAAACCCTACCAAGCCCTGCTTTAACCAGGGCTCTGTAGGGTCTCACCAGAGCTATGTGGGGGTCTCACCAGCCTGGTTAGACCCCTCAGAGCCCTGGTGAGATCCCACACTGCCCTAATTAAACCCGGGCTTTGTAGGGTCTCACCAGCACCATGGCTCCGTAGGGTCTCACACGTGCTCTATGAGGTCCCACCATGGCTATGTGCGATTTCACCAGCCTGGTGAGACCCCTCAGGGCCCTGGCAAGACCCCACAGAGCCCTGGCAAGATCCCACAGAGCCCTGGTCTCACCAGGGCTCCATGGGGTCTCACCATGGCTTTGTGGGGTCTCACCAGGGCTCATAGGGGGTCTCACCACACTCCGGGGGGAAACACCTTCACCCCCTTCTCTTTCCTAGGAAGCCGGGTGGGGGGGGGGGGCTTTACATTTGGTTCTGCCCTCTGCGGTTAGAATGAGTCACACTTTAATGATCACTTTAATAACTCCTTCATGGCACACCCAGCGTTACATGCGATGACTCACCGGCCCAAGAGTGAGGAGGAGACTCAGCCCAAGTGATTCCGTCAGGTAACAAAGGGAAGGGGGAGGAGTCTATGTCCGTGACGTCACCGGGCTCCTCCCTCCTTCCCTTCGTTACCCATCACGGACAACTACATCACCCGACTCCTCCCCCCTTCCCTTCGTTAGCCGACAGAGCCACTCGGGGAAGGGGGGAGGAGTCCGGTGACGTCGATGTCCGTGACGTCACCGGATCTCCGACGGAAGACCCGGAAGCCGGCGGAGAGGTGAGTAACTTTGATCGATCAAAATAATTTTGATCGATCAAAGAAATTAACGATTTATTGACGGCACACCAGAAAATATCTCACGGCACGGCACAGTGGTTGAAAAACGCTGCACCAAACAATGCAAGCATTAGCAGGACAAAGACACCAGAGTCTTATGAGATGGGCCTCTGGGTGGAGGAAATTGCCCTATGTCATTAGACAGAAGGAGCCCAATCAAATAGAGATCACTTTCTCGAACATTATTTTATTATTAGGTGCTACTCTTTAAACGCGACAATGATTGATCTTAGCCAAGGTTTGTAAATTTAACAAATATTTATTGAATAGATTCACAGATTAGCATTGCTACAGTGTTGCCGTATATAAATGATATATGGTTATTATACATTTACCAAACACTACAAAAAAACAGTGACATAGCGATAGTCAGGAAATGCGTATTTCACTCATTCGATGGGCAGTGATGTCACAAGCATTGCGTTACGAGCGAGGAATCTCTCTGTACTTATTGTATTTCTCCCTTGGTGCACTTGCACATGGCGGGACAATCCTTTATAAGGCTTTCGTCATTTCCGCAAGTGTCGCCCGTTTTGAAATCTTTGCAGTTTACAAAGTTATCCATATAGGGGCAACGGTTTTCTGGTTAATTAAATAAATAAATAAATACGCATTATAAATAAATCTAAAAAGTAATTCAAAGTTTAAGTCAATATAAGCAGGTATAACATTCACGAACACTTCATACAACATTTTCTGCATAAAATGCAGAGCGAATAACCCACCCGAAGTGAAGTGAGCCGAACGCTGTTCGGCTATTCATCAGGCTTGTACGGCTGAAATCAGCCGTACATCGGCTTGCTTCGGCCAGCTTCGGCTCAGCATGTTCGGCTGAGCCGAAGTGCAGAAGGAGTTCGACTCAGCCGATCCAACATGTGGATGGGCTGAGCTGAACCTCGGGCAGGCTACTCGAGCTGCCGTTAGTCCTATTCTCATAGGGCCCTGAATGGCAGTGAGTGAATAGCCGAATGCGGCCGAGCACTCGGCTCGGCTATTCTGCCCGGTACCTCTGTGGTACCGAGCAGAATAGAGAAACAGTGAAAATAGTAGGAAAAAAAGTAGGAATTTTTTTTTTTACAAATGTAAATAAATGATAAATGTTAAAAAATAAATAAAGAATTAAGAAAACAAAAGTAAGAAATTAAAGAGTATTGAAAAAATATAAAAGAGAGAAACAATTGGGCTGAGCTAGCAGTGACAGCTAGATCCGCCCAACTGCTTCCTATTGGCCGGGACATGCTAGAGTCTTCTAGCAGGTCCCAGCCAATGAATAACAACTGGGCGGGGCCAGCTGTGAGATCATGGCTGGCTCCACCCAGCCGTGAGATCACACCTGGCTCCACCCAGCTGTCATTTGGGGGGCGAACTGCCAGCCTTAGGCAGGCCATTCTACCCACTTCGGGTCTCACTTTGGCTCAGTCGAGCCGAAGCATATGCCTTTGGCTTGGCTGAGCCGCTTGGCCAGCTTCGGGAGCTGTACGGGCTATAGTGAATAGCCCGTACAGCAGCCCTTCACTTCTACTGAACCGAAGGTCTCCAGCGGTCGAAGCCAGCCGATGAATCAGCCGGAGCTCTTTTTTTTTTATTGGACAGCTTGGACAAATGGCGCTTTGCCAGAGTAGAGGCTGTTTGAGCTCTTGCCTCACCAAGTTAGGTTACACAAGCAGTGGGGAAGCCCGCTGCTGTGTAACCTAACTACCTGTCAAAAGCTGGATGCCGCGCTGCCTGTAATTAACATCCCGCGCTCCGTCCATGACAGGTTACACAGCGGGGGGGAGGATTTCCCTGCTGTGTAACCTGATAGAAGCCGGTCTGAATGGAGAAAAAGATGCCAGCTTCAGACTTTAAGCCGACACCTTTTTTTTTCATAATACTAGCTGAGGCTCAGCCCCACCTGCCTCCCCTGACCGCACGTCTCTGATCCAGAATAATACAAAAAATGTTTTGGCTTTAGATACACCATAATGGACACCTACAAATGGATCATGGGTAAAATAATATGAAAACTTACGGCAGAGGTTATTTTTACAGGCGTTAGGGCAGTCTCCACAAGGTTTACCAGATTTGTATGGAATAGCTGTGGGTTTTCGGTTTCCTCTGTAAAAAGAAAATAATAGATAAAAGATGCCCATGTCATACATGATGCACCCATGTCAGCTGGGCAGCTGTGATTAAGCAGACTTTTCCATAACAGTCTAGCTATCACACACTTGGTAAATATGCCAATAAATACTTTGCATTGCATTGGAGCATACAATCATACAGACTTTTTAGCTGCCTGCACTATAGTGTTGGTGTTATATTATATCATAATGCCATACATTTGTTTGAGTTTAAATATTTGAGACTTATACCAAAACAGATATAGTACAGTAACAGTCATGCTGCAATGTACCAATGAAAAATAATAGTAATACATAATATGCTTTTCTGGGCTACATCCAGTGAAGGTACCGAAAGCATAGGCATGTGTCATATGATCTCTGTTGAAGTGAAGTATCAGCATTAAGGTTGACTGATCACCTTACCAGAAATCACATAGCTAAAGGTTTAGGCCTCTGGTGCTCAACATGGTGTCCAGGGGTCACATGCGGCCCTTTAGCATTTTCTTATGTGGCCTTTGGGGCCACTGCATACAGACATTTGTGGTTTCCTATTGCCCTGTATTTGTGGGGATCTCTAGCTATCTCAAGTAATGTATCGCCAGTCTATGACTGTCTCCTGAAGCATGTCCCTGGTCGCAAACAATTCCTAGAGCATGTTTGCAATCTCCAGCAACTCCTATAGCCTTTTCCTAGTCTCCAAAAACTCCTATAGCCTATACACAGTCTTCAATAACTCCTACAGCATGTTCCCAGTCCACAACAACTCCTATAGCTTATACGCAGTCTCCAACAACTGCTATATCATGTCCCCAGTCTCCAAGAATTTCTACAGCATGTTCACAATCTCCAATAACTCTTTAGCATGTTTGTAGTCTTCCACAACTCTTGTAGCATATCCCCAGTCTTTAACAATTCCTATAGCCTATACGCAGTCTCCAATAACTCCTATAGCCTGTTCATCATCTCCAGCAACTCCTATAGCCTATATGCAGCCTCCAATAACTCCTATAGCATGCTCACAGTCTCCAACATGACCTATAGCATGCTCCCAGTCTTCAACAACTTCTATAGCAGGTCCCCAGTCCCAATAACTCAAAAAGCATGTCCCCAGTCTCCAACAACTCCAATAGCATGTCCCCAGTCTACAACAACTCCAATAGCATGTCCCCAGTCTCCAACAACTCCAATAGCATGTCCCTAGTCTCCAACAACTCTTATAGAATGTCCCCAGTCTCCAACAACTCCAATAGCATGTCCCCAGTCTCCAACAACTCTTATAGCATGTCCCCAGTCTCCAACAACATTATAGAATGTCCCCAGTCTCCAACAACTCCTATAGCATGTACCCCGTCTCCAACAACTCCAATAGCATGTCCCCAGTCTCCAACAACTCTTATAGCATGTCCCCAGTCTCCAACAACTCTTATAGCATGTCCCCAGTCTCCAACAACTCTTATAGCATGTCCCCAGTCTCCAACAACTCTTATAGCATGTCCCCAGTCTCCAACAACTCTTATAGCATGTCCCCAGTCTCCAACAACTCTTATAGCATGTCCCCAGTCTCCAACAACTCTTATAGCATGTCCCCAGTCTCCAACAACTCTTATAGCATGTCCCCAGTCTCCAACAACTCTTATAGCATGTCCCCAGTCTCCAACAACTCTTATAGCATGTCCCCAGTCTCCAACAACTCTTATAGCATGTCCCCAGTCTCCAACAACTCTTATAGCATGTCCCCAGTCTCCAACAACTCTTATAGCATGTCCCCAGTCTCCAACAACTCTTATAGCATGTCCCCAGTCTCCAACAACTCTTATAGCATGTCCCCAGTCTCCAACAACTCTTATAGCATGTCCCCAGTCTCCAACAACTCTTATAGCATGTCCCCAGTCTCCAACAACTCTTATAGCATGTCCCCAGTCTCCAACAACTCTTATAGCATGTCCCCAGTCTCCAACAACTCTTATAGCATGTCCCCAGTCTCCAACAACTCTTATAGCATGTCCCCAGTCTCCAACAACTCTTATAGCATGTCCCCAGTCTCCAACAACTCTTATAGCATGTCCCCAGTCTCCAACAACTCTTATAGCATGTCCCCAGTCTCCAACAACTCTTATAGCATGTCCCCAGTCTCCAACAACTCTTATAGCATGTCCCCAGTCTCCAACAACTCTTATAGCATGTCCCCAGTCTCCAACAACTCTTATAGCATGTCCCCAGTCTCCAACAACTCTTATAGCATGTCCCCAGTCTCCAACAACTCTTATAGCATGTCCCCAGTCTCCAACAACTCTTATAGCATGTCCCCAGTCTCCAACAACTCTTATAGCATGTCCCCAGTCTCCAACAACTCTTATAGCATGTCCCCAGTCTCCAACAACTCTTATAGCATGTCCCCAGTCTCCAACAACTCTTATAGCATGTCCCCAGTCTCCAACAACTCTTATAGCATGTCCCCAGTCTCCAACAACTCTTATAGCATGTCCCCAGTCTCCAACAACTCTTATAGCATGTCCCCAGTCTCCAACAACTCTTATAGCATGTCCCCAGTCTCCAACAACTCTTATAGCATGTCCCCAGTCTCCAACAACTCTTATAGCATGTCCCCAGTCTCCAACAACTCTTATAGCATGTCCCCAGTCTCCAACAACTCTTATAGCATGTCCCCAGTCTCCAACAACTCTTATAGCATGTCCCCAGTCTCCAACAACTCTTATAGCATGTCCCCAGTCTCCAACAACTCTTATAGCATGTCCCCAGTCTCCAACAACTCTTATAGCATGTCCCCAGTCTCCAACAACTCTTATAGCATGTCCCCAGTCTCCAACAACTCTTATAGCATGTCCCCAGTCTCCAACAACTCTTATAGCATGTCCCCAGTCTCCAACAACTCTTATAGCATGTCCCCAGTCTCCAACAACTCTTATAGCATGTCCCCAGTCTCCAACAACTCTTATAGCATGTCCCCAGTCTCCAACAACTCTTATAGCATGTCCCCAGTCTCCAACAACTCTTATAGCATGTCCCCAGTCTCCAACAACTCTTATAGCATGTCCCCAGTCTCCAACAACTCTTATAGCATGTCCCCAGTCTCCAACAACTCTTATAGCATGTCCCCAGTCTCCAACAACTCTTATAGCATGTCCCCAGTCTCCAACAACTCTTATAGCATGTCCCCAGTCTCCAACAACTCTTATAGCATGTCCCCAGTCTCCAACAACTCTTATAGCATGTCCCCAGTCTCCAACAACTCTTATAGCATGTCCCCAGTCTCCAACAACTCTTATAGCATGTCCCCAGTCTCCAACAACTCTTATAGCATGTCCCCAGTCTCCAACAACTCTTATAGCATGTCCCCAGTCTCCAACAACTCTTATAGCATGTCCCCAGTCTCCAACAACTCTTATAGCATGTCCCCAGTCTCCAACAACTCTTATAGCATGTCCCCAGTCTCCAACAACTCTTATAGCATGTCCCCAGTCTCCAACAACTCTTATAGCATGTCCCCAGTCTCCAACAACTCTTATAGCATGTCCCCAGTCTCCAACAACTCTTATAGCATGTCCCCAGTCTCCAACAACTCTTATAGCATGTCCCCAGTCTCCAACAACTCTTATAGCATGTCCCCAGTCTCCAACAACTCTTATAGCATGTCCCCAGTCTCCAACAACTCCTATAGCATGTCCCCAGTTTCACTTAAAACTCCAATAGCATGTCCCCAGTCTCCAACAACTCTTAGAATGTCCCCAGTCTCCAACAACTCCAATAGCATGTCCCCAGTCTCCAACATCTCCTATAGGATGTTCACAATCTCCAACAACTCCTTTGGCATATTTGCAGTCTTCAAAAACTCCTTTGGCATATCCCCAGTCCCTAACAACTCCTATGGCCTATTTGTAGTCTCCAACAACTCCTATAGCCTACTGTATATATACATTCTCCAATAACTCCTATAGCCTATATACAGTCTCCAGGGGCGTTCATGCGCCTGCCACAGGATGCTTTGCGGCCGCCCGAGCAGGTTCGGATTTTCGTACGGGAGCGCACGGGGAAGACACAGGTAAGTTTAAACCGATTTGAAATCGCAAAGCACAACTTGAGACCCCACCAGCCCACCCGAGACCCCGCACAGCCCACCCGAAACCCCGCACAGCCCACACGAGACTCCGCACAGCCCACCTAAAATTTCGCACAACCCACCAGAGACCCCACCAGGCCACCAGAGACTCCACACAACCTACCTGAGACACCACACAGCCCAGCTGAGACTTCGCACAGCCAACCAGAGACCCCACCAGGCCACCTGAGACTCCGCACAGCCCACATTAAAGTTCGCACAGCCCACATTAAAGTTTGCACAGCCCACCTAAAACTTTGCACAGCCCACCAGAGACCCCACCAAAAAAAAAAGTTATTTTTTTAAGATCCACCTAGTCTCCCTACCTTATCAGAACTGGAATGGATCCTCAGCCTGGGATCTAGTGTGGGCTGCTGTGCTGTGACTGAGCTCCATCCATATGTGCATTGCTTGTACAGCTCCCTCGCACACCCTGTAGAGGTGTCGGGAACCAGAATGTTACATCACACCGGGCCAGCCACCTCTATAGGACATGTGAAGGAGCTGTAAGCAATGCGCGTATGGATGGAGCTCCCTCACAGCCATTGTCCTATCACATCCCACCTCAAGCTGACACTCGGCTCTGGGACTCTGGGAGGCATATTTTGAATGGCTGCTCGGCGCAAGAACTGACAGTGCTGTGCTAGGGGAAGGCTGAGGAGCCTCTCACCTAGAAAAGTGGAAGGCACACGGGGACCCACTGGCCAATAGTCACAGGCAAATAGTCCCACCGCACTCTTGACCGAGATGCAAGCCCCATATAATGTGTGTGTGGGAGGGGGGTGCTGAAGTGGCCATGGATGTCGCTTTTTTTTCAAACCTCGGTGTGTCTGCTAGATAAAGTCTTATAATTTGAGGAAGCTGAACCCCCCCCCCCCCCCCAGGGAAAAAAATTATCTACGGCCCTGACAGCCTCCAAAAACTCCCATAGCAAGTACACTGTCTCCAACAACTCCTATTGAATGTTCGTAGTCTCCAACATCTTCTAGAGCATGTCTTTGACCATCTCTTGTAGCAAACCTGTAATCCCTAGTCATCTCTTGTTGCATGTCCGCAGTCTCTGACAGCTTTCTGTAGCATTACTCAATAATATTGCCTGCACTTGTGGCACCCTGAAGTCCCCTATATCAAAGAGTTGCCCACCACTCATCTACACTGATCTTTCATTGCATTTATTTATTCTGACAGTCAGAGTCTCTGAATTACTAATAAACTTTGTAGTTCTACGATAGGAACTGCATCGGAACGACTGATTTTATTAGTGAGTCAGAGACACTTACACAACAGTTCACAGAAAAAGGCTTTACAAGCGTATATATGTGTTTGTATACTGTACTGTATATGTAAGGGTATTTTAAATAATTGTAAATAGCTCTGCCATGCTTTCTACTAGAAGCACCATTTTAGTGGGACAAATATCAGGATACAAATTTCACTTTTAGACATTGTGAGCCATCTTAGTTCCCAGGTTGAAAAACAAATTTTGGTTATCATGATCTCAATGATAGCTTGGCCCTATTTTACCGTGTTCTTTATGACTAAATCACATTGGGTTAACCATGTTTCAACAACCCCATCCCCATACATGGACAAAAACGTGGAAACCCTTGAGCCAGCGCCTGCACCCTTCAATGCCCTGACCACTCCAAGTACGAAAAGCATGGCCTCTCTCAGCTGGGTGGTGGTGGCGTGGTGATGGGGGGGGGGGGGGTACTTTTACTTCTTCTGGATTAGTGACTCAGAAGGTATCTACCCCCAGTAAATTCCTCAATAAACTCAATTTCACAAGTGTTGTTTTAATAATACTCACAATGGGCAGTAATGGCACACAAAGTTATATCTGTTCACTAGATTTGGACATTCAGCAACAGAACATCCCATGAGGGAGGAAGTGCCCCACATCAGCTAAAAGAAAAAAAAACAAAACAGTTTTACTAAAAGAAATTCATGCTCTCCAACACTTCCAAGTTCTAATATTGGTTCAGCCTATAAAACATGGACATTTTTTGATCGATATTTGGCCATAAAGTTGACACTTGGAAATACTTGACGATCTATAGGACTTTCTACTGAAGGTCTATAAACTCAGTATAACATAATAATAATAATAAAAAAAACATTTTTATGATGAAATATGTTTTTATATAGTAAATGCTACATTGAGGTTAATATTAGGAGTTACTTAATGGAGACCTCAGCTTAATGTGAACCAGTGCTTTGCCATTGCTAGGACATAGCAACAAGTGTGCTGAACCATTCCCCTCTCCAGCAGCACATACACCCTTCTTTGCTTCTCTTGCATTCCATTCCAAAAGGGAGAGAGAAGTGGAACTTCAAAGAAAAGGAAAACATGGATTTACCGCTGATGATTGCTGATCCCAACCTGAAAAAAAGTAATCTATGCCCTTCTCATTTCAGGAGGTGCCTCCTTGTGGAGGTTAGGAGTCGGTATTTCACAGCTAATAGGCAGGCGGCTGCAGCCCCGGCTGTTGGAAAGTTTTATCCTCATAAAAGATAAGCTATGATGTTGCCCTTATTTTCAGGGGCTACAGGAACGAGTGCCAATCGAGAGTGAAAAAGCAGTTATTCTTTAAACTAACTTAGGGCCACAGTCCAAACGTTTGTAATACTTCTTATTGGTGTTCTTGTACAACTGGCTGCCCATCCTTCTAAATCTGTATTGGCTGCAATCATCTTTTGAAAAATTCTCATGTAATGAGCCCTAAAGGAGATTTTGTTACTTTGTTTCTGTAGTTATCTTGCCCTGTGGGGTGACAACCTAAATTTAGTTGTGCTAGGACTGTATCCAGTCTGGCTGATTACATATACATAGGGAAAGCCAAATGAGTAAAGACTAAGAGGGTTATTCACAAAGCTAGCCGAAGGATCAGTCGTAGCTCCGGCTGATCCTTTGGCTAGCTGCCTGAGCCCTTCGGTTCACTAGAACGGAAGGGCTGCTGTACGGGCTATTCTGTCCTGATTTCAGCCTCCTTTCACCATGGACAGAGAGAGGGAGGGGCCATACTAGGGGGCAATCAAGTTTCGCTGCATGCACATATTCTGACAGGCTGTCCCATTAACAGGCTGGGAGTGGGAGGGTAACACCACTACATTCCATAATTTTTAACAGTGAGAGGTTTGTAACCCCACTGGATTGTGGTGTTTGGCACAGATGTATGAATCACAAAAGCGCCTGGACAGAATTAGATATAAAAAGTTGGATATCCCACAAGGCCAACCAAGGCCCGGCCTTGGGGCAGCAGGGAGTAGAGGGGCAGCAGGGGTGTGGAATTCGTATCTCCCAAAGCCCGGGACATGCCGTTTTGGACGTGGGTAGTTGTTTTCTACATTTAGCCCTGCGTTGGGCAAGCAGCAGAGCTAAATGTACAGCAGGGAAGCCACCGCTTGTTTTGTATGCATGTATTCCAGCCTGCTATTCTTCATGGGGGGTGTTTGGCAGGTAGGGGGGTGCATTGAGGAACCTGGCCTTGGGGCAGCAGAGAGGGTAAATCCGGCCTTGCATGTACTGTATGTGTATTTCTACTGTTTATTGAGTTGCTTGCCAGGAGTTCACCTATAAGAAGTTCAGTGACCATACAGTTGAGTCTCAGACCTTATATATTACATTTTTTGAGCCCTACCTGAGTGTAGTGTCCAACCTCTGCCCCATTTACCGATCCCGTTTCATACTTAAAGTCGACTATTTCACCGAACCAGCTGCCAATCACAACGTCCCAGGGCACTTTGTATGGTGCTAGAAATACATTTTCACCACACTTGAAATCTGACAACAGAAACAGAAAAGTTAACTCAAATTGTCCTCTTCTTGGGTATGTCCTTTATTTAATGATAGCATTACTTAGGGTGAGAAGGCTTCATGCAAAGTTTGTACTGAGGAAATATGGAGAGGCCACCTATGTTGACTTCTAGACATGTGCACCAGCAAAAAATGTGTTTGGTTTCATTTCGTTTTGATTCGGGTTTTGCTTTATTTAGTTTTTCGGAATTCGTGTCCGAAAGTCAATTCGTTTCGGAATTCGGATCCGGACGAAATGCGTTAGCAAAAATCCGTACGAAATTTCGTTTCGTTCGTTCCTTTTTTGTTCTCAAATGTCACTTTGCTGCAATGAAATTTCGTCCAAAAAACGAAAGTTCGTCCCAAAAAAAACGAATCGGAAATTTGGATTCATTTGCATTCGCTATATCTGTAATGTGGAATTCGGATACATCCAAATCTCCGAATTTCCGAAATTTCGTCCGAATTTCGATCCGGAACTAAACGAATCGCACATGTCTTTTGACTTCCTCTTTTGTAAATACCACTCCTTTAGCTGTCATGCCAAACTTTTGCTGTAGCTTTTTTTGGAGTCGCTTTTATGAGCTTGCCCTCAATTTCAGGACTTAGATTTACATCCCTTAGTCATTAAAGATTGAATAAATAACACAAACATATTCTCCGAGGTGGAGGTAGTTTTGTAACATGGAGAAGATTGTACTTATGGGAAGGGCTGATTAACCTTGAACTTTTGCTTTACACTTGATTTCTGCTTGAATGGATTTTCAATGGCCACAACAGCCACTTTATTAAAAAAAATAACAAGGTACAAATAGACAATATACAGGAAGTAACAAAGAAGCAATGCAAAACCATACCTAAAAACATTCAGCCAGCTATGCTGCAGGTGGTCTTTTGAAGGCATCTGTTGCACCACATCCAAAAGAAACTCTAAGCTCTGCCTTAAAGACTTATTGCCTTTATGTACATCACCAAACTCTGTGATCCTAGGGGCACTACTATAGAGATCCCCTAACACCTTGCTACGTGGTCCATATTTTTGCAGCTACTCACTGCAGCTCTTACCTCCTCCTACTGCCAGATGCTGTGGCAATAACTGCTTTTACCCTTTAAATAGGAAGGGACGGGTTTATAATGAATCCTTGCTTCCACACATCCAAAAATGAATGGTCATAGAAACATAGAAGAGTGATAGCAGAAAAAGACCAAGTGGACCATCAAGTCTTCAAGTGTGCCATTTTTTTGTAACTTTTTGCCTAAGTATCCATCTATTGTTATCCTAAGCATGTTTAAATTCACAAAGGGGCTGTTTTTTTAAATGTTCCACCCAACATATGGCCGTTCGTACGACGGTAGCACTACTAAATGTAGATGAGGAGGTTGGCAATTTTCTTTGGTCCTCAGTGCCATCTATGAATGCTAATGCTGTGCGAACAATATCTGTCCAGCTGTACGCTGGGCAAAAAATGTATATATCACTCTCTAAAGGTGGCCATACACCTTACAACCCTCGCAAGACTTTCGTCTTGCGAGGGTTGTAAGGTAATTAAAAAAACGTACGATCTGCCCATCTTGGACAGGCAGATTAATCGCAAGCTTCTGATGATGGCAATGCTGAACGGGCAGTGTGCGCTTGCGCACACAGGCCCGTGCGGCATTTGTCTTACGAGCAGGCCCCAAACCCGCCGAAAATCGTACCATTCGCGGCCGGTTTTCAAACATGCTCGTAAGACAAAAGACGTGCGACCATACAGTAGAAATGGTCACACACCTTCCATACACCTGCCGATTAACGTACGATCGCGGGATTTCCCGCGATTACCGTACGATAATCGGCAGGTGTATTGGCACCTTTACTGTTGACTTACTCACTACATTTGATAATACTTTCTAAGGTTAGTTTTGAACTTTCCTCCTGCTAGTCTGAAGTCGTGACCCTGTGTTCTTGATCTTAGTATCATATTAAAAATACTTCCCTCCTGAACCTTTTAATCAGGTCTCCCTTTCCCTTCTTTCCTCAGGACTGTACATAATAAATTCCTGCAGTCTCTCCTGCAGTCTCTCCTCACATGTTTTCTCCTTCAGAACTTTCACAATTTTTGTTATCTTTCACAATCCCTCTAGTGATAACTAAAGATCTATATAGAGGAATCAGGACCTCCTTCCTCCTGCTGGAGATCCCTCTAGTGATAACTGAAGATCTATATAGAGGAATCAGGACCTCCTTCCTCCTGCTGGGGATCCCTCTAGTGATAACTAATGATCTATAAAGAGGAATCCGGACCTCCTTCCTCCTGCTGGGGATCCCCCTAGTGATAACTAAAGATCTATAGAGGAGCCAGGACCTCCTTCCTCCTGCTGGAGATCCCTCTAGTGATAACTAAGGATCTATAAAGAGGAATCAGGACCTCCTTCCTCCTGCTGGGGATCCCTCTAGTGATAACTAAAGATCTATATAGAGGAATCAGGACCTCCTTCCTCCTGCTGGAGATCCCTCTAGTGATAACTAAAGATCTATAGAGGAACCAGGACCTCCTTCCTCCTGCTGGGGATCCCTCTAGTGATAACTAAAGATCCATATAGAGAAATCAGGACCTCCTTCCTCCTGTTGGTGATCCCCCTAGAAATAACTAAAGGTCTCAATAGGGGAATCAGGACCTCCTTCCTCCTGCTGTTGGTCCCTCCAGGGCAGGGGCAAACATGGGCCCTCCAGCTGTGGTGAAATTACAAAATCCCATCAGGCATCTGTTTCTCGGAGTCATGCTCGTGGCTGTCAGAGTCTTGCAATGTCTCATAGGATTTGTTGTTCAACAACAGCCGAAGGGCCGGAGTTTGCCCACCCTTGCTCTAGTGATAACTAAAGGTATATAGGGGACTCTGTATGCCAAATGTTGTATTCGATCTGGTCCTACCCACCTACCTAAACCACATTTCATCTCCAACCTCCACTTGACCACATTAGCAAGCCAGTTAAGTCTGATCCTCACACTACACTTAGGCTGCCTTATGTTCATCTTCCAACTTATGTCACCCCTACAGCAGAGCTTCTGAGCCTCACTGAATCCTATTACTGAATTTATTACATTTGAGCCAGTCCTGAATTAGAACCAAGCAGCAACCCCATATATCAAAGCCCAATAGAATTTTCAGTTTAAATTACATTACACAGAGCCTTTGCCCACAGTTAGATGAATGCAATCCAGGTGCATCAAAACAAGAGGTGGTCTCAGAATGGGATAACTTCATCCATAAAGACCTCTCGGTTAACCACAAGACCTAGACTCATTTATTCTGACAACGACTGGCCATTCATTGCTATAATCCACAACTTGGCTGACACTGCCTAATAACGGTCTTCTTAGACACTTTCCATCCACCATCCTCTGAAGCGTTTCCCGCACTCAATTTCGAACTGTTCCAATGTTCTCTATAAGTTATGATTGCTCTGGTCCTGCATTTTCTACTTTGAGTTTTACATTTTACAGAATATGTTTTATTTTTTAAGATGTTTTATGAGTAGTTCCATACGATATTCTCTAAATGTAACTCTTCGTTCTACAGTAGATGTAAAACTTGCTAAAATATGTACATGATTCAGAGGCAATGTCCAATTTCTGTTCAGATAATTTTCATTATCACTTGTTAGACATAGACAACCTGTACTTCACTTTATGTTTCATTCATCTGTTTATTGTTACATCACCTGTAACTATGCTTAAATTCTTCTAATAAACGATATTGCTCAAAAAAAAAAAACAAGTGGTGGGCAAAGTTTAAAAATGTGTTTAAAAAAAATAAGAAAAATAAACAGCCACAAACTAAGTAGAAAAGACTGTCCCCTGCCAGCATGCACGACCATTGCTCTGTGTTTGGAAGCAATGGTCTCTCTGAAGAGGTCCAGCACACCCTGTGCTGAGTCAGACCTACAACTCTACAATCAACAACGCTCATGCTCATTGCTAATTGGAGAGCACTATCTCTGAATAGGCAGGGGGCATTTTGGACCTCTGCAGATGATTAGCCCACTTACAGATCTTCTGGAGAGCCATACACTGAAGAGGGAAGATAGTGCTGAATCATCCTTATCCCTCTTCTGTTCATCAAGTGAGCAACACAAGATACACTATATTTCCAAAAGTATTGGGACGCCTTTAATCGCACATAAACTTTATTGGTATCCCAGTCTTAGTCCGTAGGGTTCAAAACTGAGTTGGCCCACCCTTTGCCGATATAACAGCTTCAACTCTTCTGGGAAGGCGTCCACAAGGTTTAGGAGTGTGTCTATGGGAATGTTGGACTATTTGTGAGGTACTGATGTTGGAGGAGAAGGCCGGGCTTGCAGTCTCCGCTCTAATTCATCCCAAAGGTGTTCTATTGGGTTGAGGTCAGGACTCTGCGCAGGCCAGTCAAGTTCCTCCACCCCAAACTCACTCATCCATGTCTTTATGGACCTTGCTTTGTGCACTGGTGCGCAGTCATGTTGGAACAGGAAGGGGCCGTCCCCAACCTGTTCCCACAAAGTTGGGAGCATGAAATTGTCCAAAATGTCTTGGTAGGCTGATGCCTTAAGAGTTCCCTTCACTGGAACTAAGGGGCCAAGCCCAACCCCTGAAGAACAACCCCCCACCATAACTCCCCCTCCACCAAACTTTACACTTGGCACAATGCAGTCGGGCAAGTACCGTTCTCCTGGCAACCGTCAAACCCAGAGACGCCCATCAGATTGCCTTGGAACACCTGGATCCAATGATTTGGAGGGGTGTCCCAATACTTTTAGTAATATAGTGTACAGTATATCTCATCATTTGTGAGGAGATATCTATCTGTCTATAGACAGCATAAGTCTAGACTTTTGGAACGTTTGCGCCTACAGGGATGACCCGGACTATGTTTCCATCCACATGTTCATACTGAATCTATATGATGTTTATTGCATTTTATATGGACTTTAAATTGGCTTACCTGGTATTGTCCTCTGAGCAGGATTACTGTGTCCTTGTGTACAATTTGTGGCCCAAACGTCTGCCTTTTTCATAACTATATCACTCCATTTCTGGGAAAGTAGATGTTTATTTAAAATATTTGAATGAATTAATATTGAATTTACCATCATCAGTAGTCACAAGTGCTTATAGAAGGGCTTCCTTACAGAAACAGCTGATAATGCAGACGTTTAGTGGCTGCCTTTGTTCCCCATGGTCCCTGTGTGTGTTGTAAATTAATCACCGTTCCAAGTTCGCTCCTGTGATGGACTATAATCTTATGTTTAGTTTACTCATTTATATTGTGATTGTAGACTATTGCTTAGAGGGAGCTTAGAGCTGTGGCTACCTTACAAACACACAGGGACCATGGGGAACAAAAGTAGCCCCCCTCCAGAAGGAAGGACAGCGTCAGCACCAATTAAGAGATGATTTGAGGATCAGTTGCCAAGGTAGGCTGCCAAAGCATTAAACTCTCAAACTTATTTTCAATAATTAATCCAGCTCTAACACATACATCACCCAGCAAAGTATTTATTTTTGCCCAAGCGCTTAAAAGTCATCATGTTTCTATGCTCTGCTTCTAAAAATGTACATTTCCTGGCAGACTGTCTGGCTTCAATACTTGAGCTGCTGAAAATGCAGGTAAGGTCTCTTGACCAGTATTCCCAATTTGTATACTTTTTCCAGTTCTGGGGGGAGAGGTATTGCCGGCCGCTTGTGGTGGACGTTCCGGGTTGGGTTTGTGGTGCATGGTGTCCTGCCCAACTAACTGACATCACTGGTTGCCAGGAGCTGGGTGGGAGGTCAGCCAGAGTGTCACAGGTTGCTAAGAGCTCTTAGCCACCCAAGCCCCTATGGCCAGAAAGGGGGCGACAGGTGTGCCTGCCCTGTCTTTCCGGCCAGAGAGTCCCAGGTTGCTGAGGTGACTGCCCCATCTGCATGTGACTCAATGAGATGCTACCTGAGGCAACCACCTCAGACTGCCTCATTATAGGGACATCCCTGATGACCATCAGCAGCTTACCAGTAATGGAAGTTCTACTTCCAGTGTTTTTGTCTGGGTCCCTGTGCAGACATTTTCCATAACTTTCTGAGGATCGAGCCTAAAAATGACACTAAACTCAGGAGTTAAACCTTACAAATGCATTAAAGTACCCTACCTAATCACAAACATGTATCTTATTTGTTTATCACTCGGCTGTAGATCCTCCAATCATCTCTGAATTGGTGCTGACACTGTTCTTCCTTCTGGAGGGGGGCTACTTTTGTTCCCCATGGTCCCTCTGTGTGTTGTAAAGTAGTCACCGCTTCAAGCTCGCTCCCGGGATGGACTACAATCTTACATTTAGGGGGTTATTCACTAAAGAGCCGAAAGATCCAGCCATAGCTTCAGCTGATCCTTCGGCTCTCTTCCGCCGCCTCTGCCCTTCGGTTCAGTCGCACCTAAGTGCTGCTGTACGGGCTATTCACTATACCCCGTACAACAGCCGAAGGCAGACGAGCGTCTCAGCCAAGCCGAAGTGGTAGCTGATGCTGTCACGGCGTCCCCAAATGACCTGGGGACGCTGATCTGTCATTAAACAATAACAACTGGGCGGAGCCAGCCGTGACATCACGGACGGCTCTACCCAGTTGTTATTCATTGGGCGGGTTCCTTCTAGAAAACTCTAGCAGGTGCTGATTGACAGCAGCAGTGGGCGGGTGCAATAGCTAGTCGGTTATTGGCTATTGCAAATTGAAATAGCCAATAGCAATCTAGCTATTCATTCCTAGGCTGGGTTTTTTTTTTTTTTTTTGCTTTGCTCTGATGGCGGCCCTGATGTCAGAATAAAAAAAAAACAGATAGAAGGGAGAGGCTTACTCTGCTAGATAGAGCAGAGTAAACCTTTCCGGGAGAAAATGTTTCTCCCCCGGGCGGCCGGGAGCCGCTATCTTATAGCGGGAGACTCCCAGAACGTCCGGGAGAGTTGGGATGTCTGTTATACTATTATATATTAAGTGGTTACTTCACTGTTGCTTACCAATTCCAGCATATTGGATGCAGTTGGATTGGCTGTACTTCTATATTTATTATGGCTTTCAAGAATTATCTTCCTATTGATCTCGAGAGAAGTATACAAGTCCGAAATTGGTTTATTCATCTGTAGAGATAAGGGTAAAGTTTTTATGGTGAAATGTCAATAAGCACAAAAGCAAGCATGTCAGATTCAGTAAAGCAGAATGGGGGGAAAGCAATTGCGATATCAAAGCAATTGCGAGTGTTTGAACTTGCACAGAATATATATGCGTCAGATTTATGAAGCTAGTGTAATGTTGTTGATAAATGAGGTTTAAAGGAGAACAATGGGGTTAGGGCTTTTCCCCATAGTCCTCCTAAGGGTAACGGGAGGACACAAACTAGCGTCCTCCCGTCACCCTAAGCTCAGAATACCGCAAGCTGAGACGCCGCAGCCGGGACGGATCCTGACAATTATGTCTGGATCCACCCAGCTGCGTGAGTGACAGCTGGCTCTGCCAATGTAGAGGCAGAGCCAGCTGTACCCGCCCCTCCCTCGTCCGTTCCGCCAGTCAGCGCTTGAGGATCGGACAGGGGAGGGGATAAAATTGAGATAAAATGAGTGTAAATTATTTCTTCCACAGTGATCACCAAGTGACTTTGTTCTGGCGGGGGTTTTAACAGTTCCGCAAAATATCCAAAACCAAATATATAGATATGCTTCAAGTTGAACTTTTGCTTTGCCCAGACAAAAAGTTTTCTTACATCCCCGTACATACCTGTTGGTGCAAACTCTCGTTTTACAGTCACATTGTTGCTGCACATGCACGGGCAACATCTGACTAAGATAGAATGTTAAAAATGTGGGAGGCATTCAGAAGAGGAAGTAAGCACTTGGGTGAGGGTTTCAGATTAGAATAGTGCAATTGGCAAAGGGGGGCGGGGGGATTGAGGGGGTTTACTTGAAGTTGAACCTTTTGCTAATTTTAGAAACGTGATCAAGATTGCTGAAATATTCTATATATTCGATATATTCATACATTTTAATAATACGCTCCGAGTCAATATCCTAACACCTTAGAGCCATCTACTTATCTTCCTCTGAATGATAACTAAAGATGTTTTGCGGCACCCTCTAGGCCCCCTTTACAAAGTCCACAGGTCAGTGTATTCAGCTTAAACAACCCACAGCAAACATTTGCCATTAGTTTAAATAATTGACTCACCCAGATTTGCACAATATCGGAAGGCAGCGTCACTGGTCTTCCAGCGGACCTTTTCCTTAAAGTTCTATTGTGCTTTTTATCCGAAAATTCTTCCTCACAAGGTGGTAACACTGCAACAGGGGGGTCTGGAATCTGAAAAGAACCAAGGTTGTCATAAATACACGGATGTAATGCCTTGATACAATATTAAGCTGTTGTGTAATTTAAACATGTGCGATTCGTTTCGGAAAGATTCGTTATTCGGATGAATGTTCGTTATTCGGAGATTCAGATATGGTAATCCAAATTTACGAATGACAGGAATGACGAATGAAAACAAATCTGAACTTCTGATAACGAAAATTTTGGAAGAACTTCTTTAGCGGTAGTCTGTACTAATTTACCTCCCGGACTAATTATCGTTGCAGCAAAGTGACTTTAGAGGAAAAAAAAGAAAAATGGCTTCTTTTTTTTTACAGTCTGCAGAAGAGAAAAAAAAGTGTGAGGTTCCCCCTGTAAATTGATACCAGACCCTTTAGGTCTGGTAGGAATGTTAGGAAGGATCCCCCCCATAGTTGCCCCCAAAAGCCATACCAGGCCCATACCATACCAGGCTCCACCAAAAATGTGAAAAAAGTGGGGTCCCCCTAAAATTCCTACCAGACCCTTGCTCCGAGCACAGGCCCGGCATGGCAGAAAAGGGGGGGGGGGGGCATATGCCGATAGGGACAAGGGACTCTTCCCCACAACCCTGACCCAGAGGTTATGTGGGGGCTGCCGATAGGGGGGCTTATTAAGGGGGCACCCAGATGCCCCCCTCTTGTGAAAGTAAGGGATTCACTAAACGGTTAAAAGTAAAAGCAAAGAAAGAAAGAAAGAAAAATGAAAGAAAGAAAGCACTTAAAAAAAAAAAAAAAACATTGTCAATTTTATTTAAAAAAAATTAATTAAATGGCTCCATTGATGTATTCCAGCGTCAATCACGATGCACGACGTCCCTCTGAAATAAAAAAAGTCCCGCCACATGACGACTCGTCCGAACCCAAAGAAGACTTGCCACAAAATGACATCTCTGAGCAGAATGTAAACAGATGGGCGGAGCGAGCCGTGATGTCATGGCTCACTCTGCCCATTTGACATTCTCAGCAGTCACTGCACATGAACACAATAGCATTCAGGAGCTCGACAATACTATTCATACGATACCTCGGCTCACTGACCCGAATGGCATTTGGGAGCTCAGCAATGCTGTTGTGTTCTTGATCAATGACAAGGGGTACCCCGATGCAAATAAGCCCCCTTGCCGGCAGACCCCCACAACCACTGGGTCAGGTTGTGGGGAAGAGGCCATTGTCCCCATCGGCATGGGGACACCCTCCCAATTCCGAGGGCACAAGACCTCTGCCGGGCCTGTGCTCGAAACAAGGGTCTGGTAGGAATTTTAGGGGGACCCCATGTTTTTTTAATATTAAAAATCCTACCAGACCTAAAGGGCCTGGTATGGTTTTTGGGGGGAACCCCATGCAGAGGGACTTCAACTCAGCCGATCCAACATCTGGATCAGCTGAGCTGAAGCTCTGGAAGCTCACTCACTGCTGTTCGCCCCTGTTCTCAAAGGGGCCAAACGGCAGTGAGTGAATAGCCGAGCCGAGCGGCATTCGGCTTGGCTATTTTGCTCTGTACCTCCGTGGTACCAAGCAGAATAGAAAAAGCAAAAAGTAGAAAAATTATTTTTTTGATAAAAATAAAGAAACAGTAAAAAAAAATGTAAAGTAGCCCCGCCCTGCCATCTGGTTGCCATTCTCAATTGATGGGGAGGGAGGCTAGCGGCGCGGGCGTATTGTGGAACCTGGCCTTGGGGCGGCAGGTGGATTAAATCCGGCCCTGCCCACAAGGAGTTTACAATCTAAGGTCCCTATCTCAAATGCATACAAACGAGGGCCAATTTTTACAGGAGCCAATTAACATACCAGCATGTCTTTTAAAGCTGTACATAGGCAGCACAGTGGCATAGCCTGAGGTTCCCCAATTCACATCCAGGTCAAGACAGTATCTGCAAGGAGTTTGCATGTTCCCCTTGTGCTTCCGTGGGTTTCCGCCGGGTGCTCTGGTTTCCCCCCACACTCCAAAGACATGCTGGAAAGTTAATTGGCTCCCGTGCAAATCAGTCCTGTGTGCATGTGAGAGAGGGACCTTAGATTGTAAGCTCCTTGAGGGCAGGGACTGATGTGAATGTGCAACTATGTAAAGCTACGTAAATTGTTGGCGCTATATAAATACCTGTAATAAATAAACCACTTGGGACTCATTTGAAAACCTTCAGCAACTGTAGTGGTATCAGGGTCGTCAGTTCATTCTTCTGTAGAGCTTACCCCCTAGGGAGCCGACGGAATAACCAGGTCATCACTAGTCTGTCTAGGGGATTTGATCTTCAGCTGCCCCATTAGCATTAACTGCCCTTCTTCTAGTGCCCACAAAGCTGATATCCACTCCAGTAATGTAATGCTGAATAACTTGTATTGAACATCTTCACACTGGGGAGAGAGAGTATAGGGATCCTAGACATCCAGGGTCTAACAGACATAGACTCCAGACTCACCAGACCTTTTAAGCATCTCAGTGTAGTTCCACTTGTGGTACAGTAAGTAGTAGTTGGAATAACAGATGAGCAGGGATGAGCACAAATCCTCAGCAGGAGAGACACCAGCCATGCTCCTGAGGTCCTCTAGATTCTGGAAATCACTAAATGTCTAGTAGCCACCTCACAAAAGGTAATGGGGGGCTACACTTTATTGACATCTCAAAGTTGTAAAATTCCTATGGTAGGTTAGATTCACTCAGTACCCTCACTGTATTTCATCTGACTGCCACTCTTACATGAAAATAATTGAATGAAGAAGTGGGCAGCTCTGATTTCCCTGGCCAGAAAGCAATGCAAAAATGTAAGTGGTAAATACTCATATCAACCAAAAATCTGATGTATATTATGGATTACTGTATCCTGCAGCTAGTGCTTTGATTCCTGTTCTGGGGAATTCAACTACTTACATTTCTAAGGTTTAAAGTAGACTTATTCTGGAAAAAACATCCCTCACCTACCTCACCATCCAGATGTCCTAAATTCATAAATGGTAGAAGAACCCTTTACATTTTTTCTCAACGCAAACAGTGCACAAATAGGCAATAAAGACCTACACAGTGCTCCAACTGCCTTCCTGTAGGTCAGTGGTAGGCAAACTCCAGCCCCCTTAGCTGTGGTGAAATCCCGTCATGCATCTGCCCTTACGAGTCATGCCTTTGGCTGTCAGAGTCTTGCAATCCCCCATGGGATTTGTAGTTGTGCCACAGCTGGAGGGTCGGAGTTTGCCTACCCCTGTTGTAGGTGGTTAACCCAAACATTGTAAATAATGAAGGACATTGTGTAAAATCAAGATAAATTACTTACCCCAATCTCTGCATCTGGTTGACCCTAGGAGTAAACAACAGTAATACATCAGGCAACAAAAAGTGATTGTACTAACTCCGCTTTCCTATCAGGAACTGCAATCCTGCAATGCATGGGGGAAGACTTCTTCGCAAGCTAGTTCAACACAGAGTGAAAACAAGCCAGCATACAACAGAAGGTCCAATGAACATAATCTTTTATTCCAGATCCATGTAATCACTTTAGAGAAGAGTCAGACCGCCATTTTTATGTGTTCTATAGCCGTCATAAATGAGCAATAACCCTTAGCTGTGGTGGCAAAGTGGTTTGCACTTTTGTCTTGGAGTCCAGAGTATGGTTTCCACCCAGGACTTTGCCTTTATATAGGATATATGCTTTTCTTTGGGTTTCTAGTAGAAGACTTGTTTTTATTGTGCGCAAATTCTAGATCATACTACTAGGTTCACTGGATTCCACCTATACTGGCCCTTGTGTGTGTGTATCTATATTATTGTGGTAGAGATATTACATTTTATGCTCCTCTCAGCTAATGTGAAGGCTCTATGATCTGTATTCTATGATTACTATGGCAATCATTTAGCAATATATTCATGAGCTAAAGTGTATCTCTAGCCACAGTTTTTTATTGGGGGGTAGAGTAGGGAATGACAAGAATCCTTGTCAATGTTTTTCTTTATTTCATTAATTTCACATGTATTTGCTTCCTTTCACTTCCTGTCCCAGAAACACATCAGAAAGTTTGAGAAGATCTCTCTAAAGCCTCTTTAACATGGCCAGTCTGATCAGGTTTGCCTGTTAGTGTTTAGGTTTAGGAAAAAGACAAGTAGAAGAAAGGAAAGAAGAATAGAAAAGAAGGGCAGAAGGGAGAAGAAATATAAGAAAAAGAGAAAAGAATGGCAGCGCGGAGAGAAGAGGAGAAGAACGGGGCAGGGAGGAGAAGAAAGGACAGGAGAGATGTGAGGAGGAAAAGAAAGGACAGGAAAGGATAACAGAGAAAAGGGGCAGGGAGATAAGGAAAGGTGCAGTAAAGAAGGTAGAGAAGGAAGGGGATTGATAAGAGAAGCGTAAAGTACAGATTTGAAGAGAAGCAAGGAACAGAGACAAGGGCAAAATGGCACAAAGAAGAGTAGAAAAGCACATAGGCAAAAAGAGATGTGGAGAGGAGAAGAACAGAAAGGGGAAAGGCATGGAGAGTTGCAGAGAGGAGAAGAGATTTAGAGAAGATAGAAGCAAAAATCAGGGAAGGGAGATAAGAGGACATGCAGAAAAGAGGGTAGAGAAGAAAGGAAAGGATGAGAGGAAAATACAGATGCAAAGAGGAGCAAGGAAGAGAAGGAAACAAGAGCAAAAGGGAACAAAGAAGAAAAGTGTGGAGGAGAAAAATGATGTGGAGAGAAGAGCAGAGGGGAGCAGAGGGGAGCAGAGAGGAGAAAGGCGGTGTGAATTGCAGATGTGAGAAGAGATTTAGAGAAGAGAGAAGCAAAAAATTAGGGCAGGGAGATAAGAGGAGATGCAGAAAAGAAGGTGGAGGAGAAAAGGGAGGGATGAGAGAAGAGGACAGCACAGATGCGAAGAAGAGCAAAGAAGAGAAGGGCACAAAGAAGAGGAGAAAAGTGTGGAGGAGAAAAGAGATGTGGAGAGAAGGGCAGGGAGGAGCAGAGAGGGGGAAGTTGGTGTGAATTGCCGAGGGGAGAAGAGAATTAGAGAAGAGAGAAGCAAAAATTAGGGCAGGGAGATAAGAGGAGATGCAGAAAAGAAGGTGGAGGAGAAAAGGGAGGGATACGAGAAAAGGACAGCACAGATGCGAAGAAGAGAAAGGAAGAGAAAGAGAGAGGGCACAAAGAAGAGGAGAAAAGTGCAGAAGAGAAGAGAGAGAAAGAGATGTGGAGAGGAGAAGGACAGAAAGGAGCATGAAGGAGAAGGGCAAGGTGAAAAGCAGAGGGGAGAAGAGATTCAGAGAAGAGAGAAGCCAGAATCAAAGGAGAGATGTGCACAAAGGATATGAAAGGAGGATGAGATCCAAGAGAAGAGGAGAGGAGAGCAGAGAAGGCCAGAGATGAGACAAAATGTTCTAATATATATATATACATAATACATATTGTACATATATTTACTGTTCAAATATCTCTTTAGGCACAATTTTGATATACATACGTGTGCTACTGGGTGTTCCAGAAGCTGTATGAAGCACATAAAAATAAGCGGCAGCATTTTATTTCTGTAAAGAGAGAGTGACGTCAGTTAGTTATTGTTACTTCACATATATATGCTTTGTTAGTAGAACGTGTTATCCCAATGATCTTGTTTTTCTGCCCACCCTATCTACGTGCAAGCCTACTATCAAAGCTCTACCACTAAGCTTTCCCTAAAAACAATACATTATTGAGCTTATTCTGCCTGTACATTTGTTCAGAAAGGATGCTAACTACACTGTCTGTCATTGAGAGCCACCAGAGGGAGCACTTACAATATGAATACAAAAATGTAAGATTGTGTTCCAGCAGTAATGTAACAATCAGAAAGATCACAATACACCTCAAAGGCAATCCGTATTCAAAAATAAGGATGCGATAGCCTATGTGATGGATAACCAGCGCCTAATTACAGATCATACTGGTGAGCTTGTTAATTACTATTACAATATAATGTTACCTTATTTTGGATAAAGATGGTTGCTTGTTCCTCAGAGGTTTGTATAGGGGTGCAAGCCGTCCAGGTAATGTTGGTTATCCGTACCTGTGGAGCAGTATATATAAGGCAGTTCAAGGAACACTTCCTTCCCAACTTCCTGTTTGCTTTTTTTTTTTTTTGCCTTCATCCTGGAGACGCAATGTACAATGTAACAATATAACCCGATAAAACACCTCCTACACAGTACATTTCCTCGACGTGTTACAAATAATGCATGACTCCCCGTAAACATAACTCCGATGGAATGTTTATTGTGTGCATTTTCTTGTTGTGATTAATACTAATTATAGCTTTTCAGGTATAAAATTACCCATGGGTTCACTATGTGATAAACTAAGACGTTGTGACTGCATTTCTGTGGAACACATGTGTATACATGTTTTTTGCAAGAATGGTGCGCTATTGCGATGCAAAGTGCAAAAGGGTCATTCCTGGAAGATTTAGCAAGACCTGAAAGCTCTCATGTGCCGAATGGCCTGGATCTCTGACACACTGCGACAATGTAGAGGTCACATGACTGAAAAAAGCTTCACTTTGTATCCAACACCATATCTGTATATTGTATTTTTATTAAGTACACATTTTGAGTTATTATTGGAAAGTTTATTTGAAATCATGTTTAATAATTCACATTTGTCTCACTTACTCCTCCATATTTTCAAGTGATACAAAAGGTAAGGACTGTGTGGGATGATTTAATGGAAGAAGTGGAAGGATGGTTATGTCGAGGTGGAAAAGGCTTACCTGGAGAGATGAGTTTTCAAGAATCACTTAAACCTGGACAGAGTCGGATATTGGAGGACAGATTGTTAGGGGGTTCCAGAGGAAGGGAGACACTCT